GTTGTACGTATATTAGTACGTTACTACTACTACAAGGACATATATATATATATATATATATATATATATATTATTACCAACTACAATAGATTTAGCAACTTAAGTAGCCCCCCCCCCCATAAGAAACTGAGATTGTTGGTCATGTATTTGATTATGTCAAAACTCTAATATTGTGAAATTTTACCTCTAAGTTTCTAAACCCAAAAATTTCTCATTCCAAGAAATCAAAAAAGAATTAGAAGGTATAGGGTGTAGAATAGTTGGCAGACCGTGGTGTATTTAATAGTAAAATTTTTTACTAAATATAAACCGAGCGTTGACGGGCTGAGGATTGAAAAGTCCAAGGTTCGAGTCGTGATTTACCACTGAATACGCCCGCACTTTTAAATGTAGGGGCGTTATAACTGTAACACTTAATCTATTATTTGGCTTAGAGTAAACGTGTAGGCGAATGGTGCTACTGACTGGTTGTCTTCTCTCTGTTTAGTAACTCTAAATTATAGCTTGATATACCTGAACCCGGAGTTTTCTGTTATGACCATTTACCCGTGTCGTGTTTGAAAATACCAAATGTCTTCTTAACACTTGTCCCAATCACTTGGTGTCTGTTTTTTTTTCTTGTTCTTGCCCTCCAATCTTTCCTGTCCTCTCTCATCACATACACCCACCATTTTTCTTCGATCTCCTTCTTGTCCTTTTTTCAAATGTCTATAAACTAAATATAAGACGTTTCACTAGACAAATAACAAACGACACCGAGTCACGTATTCACCCATCGTGACCCGAATGTTATACAAATAGCATTTGTTACTTTGCAAATTGTAAAACTCCAAAATAGGAAATAAAGATTAAAACAGTCATCCAATTGCTAATATTTGTATGCCACAAGCTTGGAAGCTTTATTTTTTTTTTCCTAGTCAAATTATTTTACTCCCCTGTTACTACTTTTCTATGTACATACATTCATAACCCCGAGGGTAACAGTTAGCGTTCTTCGCTGGAATCTTTGCTCGTAGCGAGATTCGATTACGTAATTAGATTACAGCCAATTAGAGCTCCCAGTAGATACCGACATTTATTGAACGAATAAGGGAAGCTAACACAGGCCTCGGGCGGTGTTAGCCAGTGTGGATCCAATTGACGTGTAAACAGAAGATTCGGCTTCTTCTTCTTCTTCTTGTCAAGCCTGACCTCGGCAGCACAAGCTAAATCGCGGTGTGGTCACACATGCAGAAAATGGTGAACGTGGTGGGAAACAGAAATCAGCATTAAAAAAAAATGAACCACCGAGAATAACGAATGTTAGATACGTTATGGAAGAACGTTCAGAAGCTGTTTGGCAATCAAACACCGTGCTACGGAATAGTCTATATCACATAGAACACATGAACTGTGACAACATGCATGTTTTAAGGCTTTCATTCAAAGCCGATTTGTTAGTATAGCTGGGAAGAAAAAGAAATAGGCATTTCATCAGCGAAATTTACTACAAGTATTCAGTTACATTCGCGACCATGACAGAAGCAGCATTAATATAATGTCGCGTATGATCAACATTTCAGTGATCTCGACAGATATATCCAAAAACAGCATAATGTGATATCAGCCCCAAGTATTATGATAATTATACCTTACAAGGTTTGTTTGTAATTAAGCACAAAGCTACGCAATGGGCTATCTATGCTCTCCCCACCACGGGTATCGAAACCCGGTTTCTAGCGTTGTAAGTCCGCAGACATTCCGCTGTGCCAATGGAGGGGGGGCACCTTACAATGATAGATATTTAAAGTATGAATAAATAGATAAAGTTTCTAAAACAGGAACCTAAATTGTGGGGGGACAATCCCCCCAAGGAGATTAAAACATTTAACTAGTAAGGGGTGTATTTATTTTTAAAGTGTGTGTGTACTACGTCATTTTCTCTTTCGCGCCCCTTTGCCATAAAAACTCGCTCCGCACTTTGGGGGCGTGGTTGCGCTATAAGATTGACGGTTAAATACCGTTCGGTTGGACGAGAATAGCCCAAAAGATGGCTAACTGCATTCTTTCATGTCTATCATTTCAAAATTAGGAATAACTGTGGGCTGGTAGCCCTTTATGTAACGGAAACAACCAAATAAGTTTTGATACGAATGTAGAACAAGCTGTGTCTCATAGCTTCGTTTTTAGGGTTTTAATATTTTTTATTTCTGTTGCAGGTTTGGTTTCAAAATCGAAGAGCCAAGTTTCGGAAACAAGAACGTTTGAAGCAGCAAAAACCAGTGCATTCATCGCAGAACAACTCGAACGATGAAGCGACGAACAAAACAGCTGTCAACAATACGCCACCTAGTGGCAAAGTGGAGAGCAGCATAAATAAGATGACTCTAAAGGAATTGTGTAAAGGTGTATCTCCACTTGTTCTGCCTTCCTCAGCTCTGAGTCCAGTTGATGGTGAGAATTCAATTTAATTTCACATCTGTATATAAAACCCGCCTAGGATCTTCTGTTTCTGTAAGATCGTCTTTTATCACACCAGTTTTAAAGTGAAAATTTTTAACTTTAGTCTAAAATTCCTACTACGACCCTATCGGCTTTTTAAAATCAGTTTAGTTGTTGTTCTTTAATTAGCGTAAAGTTGCACAGTAAGTTATCTGCGCTCTGTCCACAGAGGAGAATCGAATCCCGGATTTTAGCGTTGTAAGTACGTATACTTACCACTGACCCACCGGGGGACTCAGCTTTATAAAGTCATTTTTTTTGTAAACCATTTAAGCACCACATTGCTTATAAATTTATATAAATGTATTAGTACTGTCTGTCCATGTAACTACTTCGTAGCGTGTGGATGGATCTTCACCAAATTTGGTATGAAGGTTCATTTGGTCCAAGGGGAGATACAAAAAAAAATGTTCAGTTTTGCATTTTGCGGTTTTTATAGGCGTTTTTGATCACTACTTCGCCCCCTGTGGTTGGAACTTCACTAAATTTTGCATGAAGGTTTGATGAGTCCATGCGGAGATATTTGCAAACTTGCGGTTTCACATTTTGTGTTTTGCAGTTTTTATGGTCGTTTTTTTATAATTACATATAAGGGAAGCAGCTTTTCATGTCCTAAGATAACATTTCATTAATCACGAATTTACATAACTTCCGTCTAGGGGACGTGTACACCAGCTAGTACCTAATAAATTACTAGTCATATACAAATGTAAAGATTGTTTGTATGTTGTTAAGCACATAGTTACACAATGGGCTATCTGTGCTGTATCCACCCCAGGTATCGAAACCTGGCTTTTAGCGTTATAAGTCAACAGACTTATCGCTGAGCCACAGAGTTAGTGTGTGTATGTTGGTAAATGAAAAGTATAATATTACAATTAATCCCATTAATTACTGTTGGATCACCTAAGCATTTGACATATAAAATTCAGTGATTTTATCAAAGTGTTTTGTTATCAGTTATTTGCATGGAGTGCTGTAACAGGCAACAATATAAGTTACTGAAATGTACTATCTGGACCGTACTGGTATTGGACAGTATAAATACAAGTCGGTAATTTGAGGAATCTTCGAATGTTTATACCAATTTATACAGAAATTTGTAATAAGGTTTCTTGTTAAAGTGAAGTACCAAAAACTGGTTATACCAAAACATGACTTTCACGTGAGAACGACAATAAAAACTTATTTCAATCTTCACACACGAGAACCATGTTTCACACATTTCTCTGTATGAAAATGCTACTACCAAGTATAATTGAATCTTGATGTCTCATAACCATATTATTTGGTTGGAAATGTCTGTTGTATTGTTATTATTATTTGATATCTATTGCATTGTTGTTATTATTGAGTATATATATTGTTATTGTCATTATCTCTAATATATTTTTGCATGTAGGGTTAATCTGCACTGCAGCCATGCCCACTGTTAAATGTAGATGACGAGTGCTAGCCTTATATCTTAAAGGCACCTAAGCCTAATGAGTGATAGCTTTATATCTTAAAAACACCTAAGCCTAACGAGTGCTAGCTATATATCTTAAAAGACACCTAAGCCTAATGAGTGCTAGCTTTATACCCTAAAGACATCTAAGCCTAATGAGTGCTAGCTTTATATCTTAAAGACACCTAAGCCTAGCGTTTTAAAATTTATTTGGATCGATTTTCTTTCAATGAATTATATGTTCTGGTATTCTTGTGGCTGTACAGCTTTTGTTTCCGTAGGAGTCATTCTGTTCCTTTTTTCTTTTAGGATTTTCACCCAAAATTACGCAACACTTATCGGCGTATAGCCGTTTCTAATTTTGATTATTTTGACTATAAGGAAAACAAGCTAGTCAACAGCACCCACCACCAATTCTTCGGCTATTATTGTCTGACTGAATAGTAGCATAGTGGTATTCACAGTCGAAACACACTAACCCACGCCTAACTCAACATTATTATTCGTGTGTTGACGAACTGCAGATAAACGTTTATGTTTGTCAAATGTTGTTCATTTTTTAAGTTTTACTTAATATTTTGACATTTTAATCTTTGAGCCATTTTTGCTCATAAAGTAAAGTATGTTTTAAAATTACACACACACACACAAAATAGAATTCAAATAAGGCTTAAGGTTCGAAAATAAATTCGAAAGATAAAAATGTTAAAAGCAGAGATACAGAAATATACATTTCTAAATTATTGCACTTAAGTTTTCAAAGAAACGCCTATTTTTTATTAAATATACGCAAGCTTTCTTCCCTATGCTACCACATCCCCAAGCACGTTAAATGTTTGAATCTGCAAAAGCAGACCGACGTTTATTGAATAATCTGCGCCGTTTGAGAGACGTGTTTGCAGAATGGCGAACGTTTCGGATTTGGCTTGTTTGAGACAGAGCTAAGGTTTAATTCTATAAATGGTAAATGCACATATAGCCGTTACTTCCGGCATTACTTTAATAATATGGATACAAATTAACTTGTCCAGCGTAAGACTAACTTCAATCTTTTCTCTCTCTCTCTCTCTTTGTTTTACTTTAGGTAAAGACAGCGAAGAAGATGCAGCAAGATGGCCCGCCTCCTCCGAATCTTGCTCGTTACTGACAACCATAGTCCCCGCCCACACAACACTGGCTCCGCCTAATACGTGCCCAGTTAGTCCTTTTTCAGCATTTCTCAGCCCTTCTTCAGGATTTTCTTCTCATTACTCGGGGTCCTCCATGGACACCAAACACAACCTAATCACCCAGATTTTCTGAGAATGAATTTTGCTAACTTACAGACTAGTCACGGACAGTGATAATAAGCAGCGACTGACCAGTGACCACTACACATCAAATACACTGATTGAGAACAACCCATAGTAACGTGAAAACGTTCATAATAACTTAATAATTAAGAATGTGAACTTTTATGGGTCTGAAGGTGTGTGTGTGTGTCATTACATACCGCAGCGGGAATAAATGTAATATCCAAATCTACTGATATACTGAAAACTGCACGTCTGCCGTATCCAAGACGGCCTGTTGAACCCTGGTATTAGTGAAAAGTCTCGTCGGCATTGAATATTGTAGATGTAATGTGGTTACATTGTTTTAACATATTCTACCTTATATTCACTCACGAGTTATTAGAAGTGTTATTTATTATTCTGTGTAAGTGTTCCTTTTGGCAAAATTATTTATTACTATTATTTTTTAAATAGTAAGCTTTAAAAATATTAAGTAAAAAGATCGTAGACTTCACTGAAAATGTTTGAGAAAGTAACTGTTTACAAGTACTTATGTAAACACATTTTACCTAAAAGTCAGGCCTAACAAGAGGCCATATTATTTGATGAAAAAATACAATCAGCTACCATAAGGGTAACTCTATGTGGCACTGATGACGAAAGAGGAGTATCGCTTATTACTTGAGTCTTTTGGAATTAGGGGTTAAACAGCATTGTGTATTTTAATGAAAAGAGGTCGAAGTTGAAATACTGTAAAATAGCGTTTATACTTCTATACGTTTTGAAACTTTAATCTTTCAAGCTTACCCGTGAATGAAACGTTTAATCATGAGAATAATTTCAGAGGGCGTTGTTTATGGACTTTTATTTGTTAATAGCTTTGGAACTGGTGAGCTCTCCGGTAGAAGTCAATATAACGCTAGAGTCAAATCACAAAATCTACAAATGATAGAAGCAGCAAAGGCATGGTGGGTAGGGCGCTCAACTGGCCAACTGCGGGTTCGAATCCACGTCACCGAACATGTTCACTCACACAGCCGTTGGAGCGTTATAATGTGACGGTCAATCCCACTTTTCATTGGTAAAAGAGTAGCCCAAAAGTTGACGATGGATGGTGATGATTAGCTGTCTTCCTTCTAGTCTTACACTGCTAAATTAGGGACGGCTAACGCAGATAACCCTCGTATAGCTTTGCGCGAAATTCAAAACAAAGAAAACATATACTGGTACAAGGATCTCTTAACGTGTTTCTATGACAACAGAGAAAACGTATACTGGTATAAGGGTCTCTTAACGTGTTTCTATGACAACAAAGAAAACGTATACTGGTACAAGGATCTCTTAACGTGTTTCTAAGACAACAAAGGAAAGATATACTGGTACAAGGATCTCTTAACGTGTTTCTATGACAACAAAGAAAACGAATACTGGTACAAGGATCTCTTAACGTGTTTCTATGAGAACAAAGCAAACGTATACTGGTACAAGGACCTCTTAACGTGTTTCTAGGAGAACAAAGAAATTCGTTTATAAAAGATTTTATTCATGTTAACCCTACTTATTTACATATTTTTACACAACTCGTTAACACGTGGGCAGCTTAACGTCTTGCTGACAAAGTTTTTCTAAACGCAGTATTCTTACAAACGCATGGTTCGAAAACTGGTAGTTCTTTTCCTGTTCGAACAGTTCCGTTTATGGAAGGCAAAATGATCAAACCCAGACAGTAGTAATAGCACCACAGATGAGCTTTCTGAAGTAGTCTAACTTGAAAAACATAAAATAATACTTTCCACAAATTCATACACCATCGAAAGATTTTGTAACAGAACACTTATAGAGTATCCTATATAATTCTACTAATAAATTATATATATATATGAAAGAGAGAAATCATTTAATAATTACTAATTAAAAATCATAAAACTATTACGTATTAAGCTAGAGCTATCTTTCTTTGTTTTTAAAAATATTAAATATTCTACGTACTGCGGTAGGCAGAAAAACAAAACTGAAACTGTTTATGTACGTAAACTGCTAAATCTTCCGCTGTAATTGACTCACATTTCTCATACCTCAGCTGAAAGTATGAAACACATAAAAACATTTTTACCCGCCTTTATAAAAATATAAATAACGAAACGGGCGTTGGCCTGTCCAGTACATTTACTTTTATATCAAAAACTTCACTAAAATATCGTGTTAAACTTGAAAACCTTCTTAAGAATTAACTTTGGCAAGGCTAAAACCAACTGCCCACCCCTTTAATATAACAATATCATCTTGTACGTCCTGAAAAATGACAGTTACTGTCCACCCCTTTATTATGATAGTATCACTTTCTACGTCCTGTGACGTAACAATTACTGCTCGTTCCTTTAATATAATAGTATTAACTTGTACGTCCTGTTAGTGACATATTTCCCTGTAACTTACACAGGCCATAAGACAGTCTTGAGGTAGAAAGATAGCTAACATCCACTGTCAGACGAAATTTTACATACACATCACAGTATTCATTTTATATTCATATTCCTGTGATTTAAGCCAAAAAAAAAAATAATCATAAACATATCTTAAGTTAGAGCTCTTCCTGCGTTGTGCTTTTTTCTTCTTTTACATAGGAGAATAAGCAATAAAAGTCCTTCCTTTTCTTATACCTTTGGGACGGAAGAACAAGCAACATTAACACATGATGTACAAAACATGCATACCAAAACACTGTAAGTAGCAAATTTCATTGTAATAATAATAATTATGACTTGTCTACATGATTAATCTGATGTTATTTCATCCTAATGGAGGGTTTAATCTGGAAAAATATATAAAATCGTTTTAGGACAGGAAGAGAGGGCTCACAGAGACAATAATGGATGGAAAAGCTTGTCCACAGTTTCAAGCATATGCCTAATTAATATTATCTATATATATATAGTCGTGGGAGG